GCCCCGCTGGCGCCCGCCGCGCCGGGCTCGTTCCCGCACACGGAAAGCGACGGCCGCAGGCCTGAGGCAGCGAGGGGGGGCAGTTCGGAGGGGAGGGGAAAGGGGAAGGAGGAGCGTTTGCAATAATGTCATTGTCACCTGGTAACCTAGGGATGGGTGGCTTTTTGGCTGTCATTTTTCCCTCCATTCAGCCGCCTAACACGTATAAAACTAAGTTTTGGAGCTACTTGGTTCTCGCTAGCGTGGTCATTCCCGTGCCCGTCCTTTGCTAGCTTTATGTTGTGCCCTTATGTGCAATAGCTTATGGCTTTTTTTTTAATCTAGTACTTTTTTGAGCCACTGTAACTTTTGATATCCCACAGTATGTAGCAAGAAATTGTCTCTGCTCAACTTCTTGAATTTGTTTCACAGTTTCTTCTCCTACTTCTTACCTGATGCTTGGAAAGAGACGCAGCGAGCAGAAAATTCATTCCCTGTTGAGCATCTGCGTGCCGCTGGGCTATTTGAAGACCTTCGTCCTGTCCTACTCAGTTACAGCTTTTTCAAGCTGCCAAACCCTAGCAGACGCAGGCATTCCAGCTGTGACCCTTTCTGACATGGGGAGCAGGGCAAAGGAGGCCAGCACTACTTTGAGTGTTCACATGTGGATGCACCATTGGTTTATACAGTAGCACAATGATGTTTTCTGTTCCATTCTGATGAAAAAGCAAAATATTTGCAGGCAGAATTTGAAGATGCTCTTCTAGAAGACATAGTCTTTCATAGCCATAGTCTTCGGAAGGAGCAAAAATGCTGAAACAGGTAACTAGCAAGGGAGAGGAAATGACTGGAAATTCACCATATACAAAGGGATGCACAAAAATACTGATCTGCCCTAGTCAAAGTCAGTTATGGGCTTTGCAGGAACTATTACTACTTGGGCATTTTGGATTATTGCAGCTAGCTCTGCCACTCAGTGGCAACAGCAATCCAAACAGTAAATACCATGCTAGTTCCAGGGTATACCATGTTTGAACAACGTGGACATTTTCAGTCCCTTTGCCCTTGATCTCAGAAGGATGTAATTGAATGGGAAGTACAAAGAATGGCAAGGTTGGCCAGAAGGTATGGAACAGCTCCCAGAGAACCATCCTGGGGTTTTCAGCACAGAAAAAACGGAGAGAAGATACAGGTTTCTAAATTAATGGGTGGCATATAGCTACTGCTCGACTGCTGCTTTGAATGCAGAAAGTAAGGGATACGAAATGAAACCATCAAGGGGTAGGTTCAAAGAAAGAAAAGGAGGCAGTTCTTCACACAACAAGTCGTTAAGCTGAAAAACGCCTTGCCTCAGTAAGCTACATACCAGAGCTTTGCATCAAGTCCATTAATTTACAAATTAATAGAAGAAAACAATATTATAGGCTAATAGGTAAATGAATGATCTGTGGCTCAGGAAGTCCTTGATGTGCAAATTCTGATTCCACACACTTTCCGTAGGACCTCCTCTCATAGCCCCATCTGATTGATTATGGCTCTACGACAGACAGACTCGATGGCAGGGCAAAGGCCCAGCCTTGTGTTTGAGAGATTGCTCTTTACTGGATGCTGAAACTATTTGGAATTCCAGAGATCCCTCTAATGCGAAAATTCTTTACTGTAAACCCCAGAACTTTTCTGTAACTGCAAACTCTTCTTTACCCACAGTATCTTCTGAACTGTTCTGATCTAAGGTCAGCAGGACAATAATATGAATTCCTACTCCCAGGGGAAAAAACCTCACCACGATATCAAGATATAAACTAATGTCTCAAGACCCAGTGTATGGAAGTAATAAATATGAAAATTTAAGAAAATGTGCATCAATAGGTTTAAAATTTTTTTATTGTGCTGCCAAGAGCCAAATTACAAGAAACCGCCTCTGCATTTCTCTTACAAGAGCACAACAGGAACCAAAGTAAAAGAGTGTAATGGATACAGCACATAGGATAAATCATATCTTTAAAATAATAATAATAAAATAATAAAAATAAAAAACATTTTACACCATGTCCTATATCCTGCTAATATTTTCAGAATATGGCCTTGATTGTAAAACAAAAGCAAGCATTTACAATTTCTGGATAAAGACTGCTTACTCTTATGCAAGGAATGGATGTTTTGTCTTGACAAAATCTTTGTAGTAACTGGACAGAAACATCTCTGTTTCAATATCAGATTGAGTACAAAACACTGGGGAGACTACATTTTTTCTTATTGGTGGTTGGAAACTGAAGTTATATAAGCAGAAAAAATGTTGACCCTTAATGATACACCTATTTTTTTCTTTGATGCAAACAGCTAGAACACCTTTTTGATATTCTAAAACAAAAAAATTGTTAATCTTCAGATTAATAAATTAGGTCATTATAATAATAAATTAGGGTTTTTTTTTTTTCAGTTTTAAAGTTCAGCAACCTCTGACCAAGTATTTACAACAATACTTGAAAGTTCCTTTACAAAAAATACATTTTCTTTTCACATTAAGCATACTGGGTATCTGTGTCTCTTATGACAAGCATTTGTAAAAGAAAAAAGGCAATGCACAAATGGGTAATTAGTATAAAAGTGCCAAGACCTGTTTGGAAAGTTAACATTGTATTATACAGTCAGAGTTATAAATGAGGCAAGCTACAACAAACTTCCAGCTTAATGTGGACAATATTCCAGTAGTTGTTTCAAACAATTGTTTGAAGAAAAAAAAAAAAAAGAAGAAAGAAAGAAAAAAAAGAAAATCCAGGAGCCGATGGTGTTATTCTATGGAGCTGATTAGTGCTGCATGTATATTGTCATCAGTGTCTCTAGCCAATGCATTCATTAAAAAGCCTTTTTAAGGCTAAGCAGGAAAAGAAAAATAAGAAACACCCTGAAATGTAGCAAGTAGCAAGAGCAACGCTTACTGCTATAATCGTGCACGTACTGTACACAGGCAAACACAAGAGTGCACACACACACACGCGCGCACGCAAACACTTTCAAATCAAATCAAACTGTAGGTAGAATGAGATGTTCTTTTCTTGTCTTTCCTAAACTCACAAGCGATTAAGCATTGATATGGAATGCCTGTTTATCTGTTTCTGCTCTGGGTAAAATCTCTCTCAGATAAAAATACATTCAACAAGAAAAAAAATAGAAAAAATATATACTGTATACATAGTGTTTTATATATACAGTATATATATGTATAGTGTATATACACATGCACATATATATACATATGTATACCTACATGCATTTGTATATACATATATATACACAAACATACAAATACTTTTTGTTGTTTTTAGCATAATTATATTTACATAAATATTCCTATAATGCTAAAGTTTAAAGAAGCATGATCTCCTTTTTTTCTGAGCTTCAAAAAAGGTGCTTGAGTAATATACAATTAAAATTAAGCAGCTTCCTAGCATGGAAGTAGTTTCTAAATCTGCATACCAGTAAATAAGAACATCAACAAGAAAAAAACAACAACCTTAAAACAGTCTCTTTTTTACTCTCTTGTAAGCAAGAGCTTTGTCCAACAAAAATATTTTTCCTTCTCCTGTATGAACAACCAGAGATTGATATAAAATAACAAAACAAAACCACAAGAGACAAAACAAACAAACAAAAGCCCCTGGAACTGCATGGTGTTCTTGACTTTTCCTTCCTTCCTTCAATACTGCTGTCAAAAGATCCAGTGCTCATATCAGGAATTACTTAGGCCTCAGTCATTTGCTAACTCTGCCAAACTCTGGCTAATCTAGCCAATCAGCTTTGAAGAAAACAAAAAATAAAAACAAAAAGCAGCACAAGGTATAATTTTATACATCCTTAATAAACCCACCCTTTATTTTCTGCTATAACCTTTTCCTTGCTATTTCATTAACTACTGCAGCTTCTCATCATATAGAAAAATATTTGCAGCTACACCACACACCTGTGATGTGACAAATTCTGTTCTAGGAGTATATTACTGTAGCAACAGCTGGAAAAAAAAATCAGACCTTTTCATATTTTTTTTTTCACCTGGGGTTAGGCTTTGCTGCAACAGATGCGATTTCAGAGCAACAAGAAAAACCACTATCCTGCTGCTCGGCAGTATTCTTTATTCATTTTCTTCTCCAGCCAAACATGGTCAGCTTCTCTGAAGCTTCCTTTTACCTCATTGCCTACCCCTAGCCCGTGATTCCCCCTCCCAAAAAACCTCTATAGCTATGTTACAAGCAAATACATCTTAACAAGTTTTAAAACTTTGGTTCTAAGAAAACACTTGGTCAGTTATCTCAAGGAAAAGTGGGAATGCTTTTTCTGGCACATTGCAGGAGTCAGAGCTCATCCCAGTAAGGTCTTAGAGCTGTACATGTAGTCACAAATCCAATACAATCCACTAAGCAAGTGCACAATTCTAGTTTTATTTTAATAGCAGACTTAGTCTCTCTCTCTTTCTTAAATCCTCCATAAGGGTGCAATTCTTCAAACTGTTTGATAGAAATTATCTGCCTGTAGGTTGTTCTGTTTCTGCATGCTGTAAAATCCACTGTATCTTGAATCTGGGTCTGCAATTCTTAGCATCCTCTGAGAACTGTCCACCTGGACCATGGTACCTTTCTTGCAGTCCACATAGACCAGTTGATTGTTTAGGCAAGAAGGCTGTTAAAACAGAAAGGGAATATTGAATCAGTTAAAAAAAGGTTTGTGTTCCACCCATAATTAGAAAAATGTTTATGGTTCAAGTCTATAAGCACGAAACAAAATCAAATTGGCAATTAAAGAGCCTGGACTTTTGCTAAACTTGGTGAAGGCTTATACCAGGCACAGTAACAGACCAGCTCCCTCTTCTGAATCACCATTTTTCATCTTCTGAATGGAGCTCTGGTATTCCCATACCCAGTCCTCCTATTCCTCTGTTTGAGAGTCCTTCAACTGAAAGATTCTGCAGCTGAGAGGAAGGTGAAGCAATGCTGGGCGCACATCACCTTAAATGCTTACGGGCTAAGCACGAAGGAGGACAGGGAGTAAGCATACTCTATGGACACATACGAAGTTAGTGACAACGCTCACACGATAAGCATGCTACAAATCTTAAAAATCCCAGTTTCCACTGGTGTAGCTTCTTTTTCCAAGACTTAAATCAGAAGGGTTTTTATTACTAAAAATTTACATTCGGTAACCCTTATTACAAAAAGGGTTTTTTTTTATCCAGATACTTATTACAAAACTTCACTGTAAAATGTTTTACATTTGGCTCTTCAAAAGTCTGCGGACTGGATTCACAAAGAAGTCCTGAGGTTTACTGATGTTAACAGAATTAGGGCTAAACATTAGCAGTCCATCTGTAATTTTAAACATCTTTTCTGTAATCCTTCTTTTAGTATTCATATGATTTAAGCACAGTTGTTGATCTGTTCTTTACTGAATAGCTGGACTATTTTCAACAGAAAGAACATAAGCCAAAACAGGCTTGCCAAAATTATTACTAGGAACCATCAGTCACCCAGCAAGGAATAGGAGAAACAAGGAATAGGAGAAACTAATGAGTGACACCTAGTTGAAGAAACCTTAAAAGAAAGCTATATTTATGACAAAGACCCTCATAAGAAATCTGAGTTTCAGTATATCCAGTCTTGCATTGAACCTGTATGTGGCTTAAAGTGAGCTTTCTTAGCATATGGACGATGCCTTCTGGTGACACTGAAAAAATGTTTCAGCAATAGAAGCGTTTGAGGAAAATGATGTTTCATAAGTAAAAAAGTACATAGAATTATTGATTATAGTTCCACAGTTAGAAAGTTGTGATTTTCACTTCAACTATTTTGTCACATAGCAGCCTTTCTGAGAGTTTAGGAGTAAATACATTAGAGTTAAAAATGAATTTTTAAATGCATTCCTTAAGAAATTCAGAAACTGGTATCGCTTACTTGGCGTGAAAGACTGGAAGTAGAATAATACTGATTCTTCATGCTTCCTATTTAATTACAATTGAATTCAACTTTATGCTCTGACTATATTTGTAAACTTTTTGGAAAAGACTTTTTTTTTTTTTCTTTTAAAAAGCTCTGCAGCAGTGACAGAAAGAATATGGACATTTAATTTTTAAAGTTACTTTATTACTCTTCTAGGTGGAATGGAAGAAAAGATGCTCTCAAATTGCGTTCCAAGTATCGACAAAGTCTGTTTGATCAGAACTAGGAAATATACGTGGGATAAATTGGGGAACTGATATAAATGGCATTTGAATACGGAGTAAGGGCTTAGTCTGCTGATAGAACTATTACTCAAAACAAAACAATGCTCTTTTCACTGTTCATTTCCAAGCTACCTGCTTCTTCCTTTTTTTGGTAGCCTCAGAATACTTAATAGGTAGATATTTCCTGAGATCTCAAAATATTAATCCCAGAACCATATGATGCTGTTATTAGAAAATGTGATAAACACTACTAGTACATACAGTACCTGATGTTGGACAATACTTTTAAAGCGGATGAAAGTTAAGAAACCAAAAATATTCTCTTATGAGTTTGACTGCAGATAAGAAAGTTGCATGTATTTACCTACACATATACAGAGTTGGGTATATTTTTAACTTTTTTTGCTGAGCTTGATTTCTATCTAGTGACAACTCATTACTATAAGGAGCAGGAAATGTTTTCATTTGATAGTGAAAAAAATCATTTAGGAGACTAAATAAATGCCAACAGATTGACTGGTATAAAATGGTTTAAGACAAAGAGAAAATAATTTAAGAGACTTTAGATGATGTGAACTCAATTGCATCCTACACAATATTCTAGTTAATCTTGTTTTCCAAAAAAGTGAGAGCCTGGAAACAAACATAAACATGGCACCTTTGTTGGAGCTTTGTAGCAGGACACTGGAATCCACTGCTTTTTCTGATTGACGAGCAGAAGGACGATGATCAGTAACAGCGCTATCGTGATTGGAATTGTCACCAAGGCAACAGAGCTAACTGACGCATCTTCACTTGGGTGCGGTCCACCGCCACTTCTGTACTCTCCCTGGAGATGACTCATGTCTGCAAGGCACATGTGAGCATTTGTTAGTAATTATAAATGGGCCTTGACCATAAATAAGAATGTAATTATGAAAGTCTCAGTTGTGGATCTTGTCACTCACATGAATTTGGACTTCCTCTCCTGAAATGTCACCTTATTCATAGAAATTAGAACAACTGAAAGGCAATATCTTATATAGTGACTATATTAGCCAGGGAAAGGCCATCAAAAAGAGAGGAAATAGGATGGACTCTAAAGCACGATAACAAGCAAGTGTGACAATAACGTCTTAGCTCAGTTGCGTTCGCATCATCTTATCTGATCACAACCAAATTCCCAGTTGTAAAAAAAATCAGCCTGTGTTTCTACGCTGAGGAAAACCTGGAAGTCTTAGCATGAAAGCCTTTTTTTTTTTTAAAAAAAAAAGTACTGGTAAGACAATTCTCATGTGTATGCTCTCTCATTTGTTGAGAATATATTACAATACTTGCACCACTCAGCCTGTGAAAACACACTGCTGGCAGTCTACTAGACTGTAGCAAGTTTTGCATGTAATTGCAAAGAATGGTAATTTTCAATAACATATACAACATTCCCACACAGTTTGTAGTGTGTGTTTATAATCCCCAGCCAGGATAGTTGCAAGCCAGCTACTAATGCCTGTGAGAAATGAAAATGCTGTAATTATAAAAGTATAAGCTTACAATTTTGTAAAGCAGTTACATTTCCTGTATCCTTTCTCCTAGCCACCAAACAATAGTATGCTATGAGATCATCCTTGGATTTAAAAAAAAAAAAAAAAAGTTTAGGTAGTCCTTCAATTAGAAAAGGTTAACAAAGACTGTGTCACAAAGTGTTTCCTCTACCCTGAAATAATGATTTCAGCACAGTTTTAAACAAAAGATGGATTTTCATTCTCAGACAACTTTATTAGCCCTGTGTCATTATACCTGTGAAGTGTTTTCTTTTTTGTCTGGCATTTGTCTATGATATGTATTAAGTTGTGGTGTATGTTTTCCCATTTTTTGTTTATCAATATAAGAATGTCAAATGGATCAAATGAAGGTCTCTCGACTCCAGTGGCCTGACAACAGCCTCCTTTCTAGTTTTTCTATCAGAAAAGACACTGCAGAATCATTCCTCATTCATTACTTTATCACATTCCTAATTTTATAGAACTCCATCATACCAACACAGATGTTTCTTCCAAGCTGAAGATGGAATGATAATGAGACCAAATTGCATAAATATAATTTAATAGACTGACTCATCTTTACTTAAAGCAAAATGCACGTAAGACTCTGCACTGAAGAATATTCTCAGATAACCACCTTTTCAAAGCATTACACAGATGCTACCTGAATAGAACAAGTAGATGCATTAAAACATGGGGAATAAACACAGACCTAAGTCAGCCCAGTTTATGTCAGATCTTACCTCTGTGAATGTGGATGATGTCATTTTCACTCGGTGTTGGCCAGTTTGGTACTTCTAGTTCCATGTCTGCTCGATGATTTGTCTTCTCAATGGGGATGTTAGTAGGTTCAGGTACATACATCTCTGTGAAATGAGATAAATGTGTTTCACAAATTACAGGCTGCTTAACTTCCCAGTACTGCTCTTAATTCAGAAAATATGCTTGGCCATCTGCAGTGCTTTGTCCTATGAATCTTTTCATTTGTTTCAGAATTTTCACCATTACTAGTCTGGGATTTTGTTTTAAAACCTGTTTCATGCTGCATATGGGATACATGCCTGATGCCATTATCATTATCCTAATGTGAATGGGATGATACAGTCATGTGGACAAATTTGCTTTTGAAAATACCATTTCAGAATACACACTTTACTACAGCCTTGCTCCTTTGTGAGACTAAACCACAAAAAAGCCAAGGGAAGGCTACATCTTCCCAGCTGATACGTAAACTGTCACTGCTCGTTTCTTTGCCTTCCTTTTTTTGTAATCCTCAAAGTAGGAGAACTGCAAGAGGGGCACTGCTGAATCTCCCCAGTTATCCTGTCGGAAGTAGTTACCAGCTGACTGAATAAGATGAGCAAACTCCTGCAGAAGTCTGTCAGGATTAGCATTAAAAAAACAGTTGCAATTCTTATGTCCTTTGTGTCCATAGCTAAGAAAATTTCATATTACTTTTAAGCCAAGTTAAAATGATAAATAAAGCAATGCAACAATTGAAAAGTAACGACGAGACTCAGAAAAGACAGAAATGTTAATCACTAACAGAATCTGCAGAGATATAAGCATATTCATTGCCCTACTTCACTAATGTATTTCCATAACCTTGTGAAAGGACAGAGCAGGGACAAGCAACTAATTTCTGAGTTGACAGTTCTCAGAATAAGTAAAATTCAAACTATATATTTGCACGATATGACTATCTGTTAGAGAATATTCCTTTTCCTGAAGTCTGAATGTCTGTTGTCTTCTTGATTCTATTCAAACATGGACTGATGTTCAAAAACCAATTAAAAAACGTTATCATCAGTGCTGGAAAATCAGCATTACAATGATCTGGGTTGTCACATCACATTACCTGGGCACATGGGACAGCAGCTCCCCTCCACGTTGATGGGTTCAGCACAAGGGAGGGGTGGGCAGCTGACAGTGGAGCAGAGAGTCTGACCCTGCAGGCAGTAGCAGTGTGTGCAGCTGTCAATGTCCCAGCGTTCCTCATCTGCGTATGTTTTTCCATTGAAGTGGCAGACCACTTTCTTTGGAACTGTATCTTCTGTTGGAGGAAAAGAGAGTGGAATGATCATGCAGTAATGGCCAATTACATACAAATCTGATTTCTTCCCCAAACACTAAAGCGAAAAAATAGCCACAAAGAAATCCCAGCTGTAATTAAAAGACCCTCTCCACATCTTCCAGAAAATCTTTGTTTAAAAAGTGTAACTTCTGCTTCTTTATGAAGTACGTAATTAGCCTGGGCTGCCTCTCCTCATTTTACTCATGCAAGAGGCTAGAGGACGGATGATTGGGACATGAAATGATGATATCAAAAGTGCTGTGTAAACTTAGAAAAATTGATTTTTTTATGTTTGACTTTTTGAGACTGCCAACTCCTCCTCCTCGTTTCCTCCTAAGTCCTATTTAACTAAGAAAAAAACCCAGACTACCTACATTTCTAATTACCAAGGTTCAAGAAAGATGAACTCAGTCTGGAATACTTGAAGAAAAGATTAGGCTGGATGCCGAGAAGGATAAAGTAACTCTCAGGTGACGTAACTAGAAGTGCTTAGACTATTTATTATGATAAAACAGAGTCAAAGAGGATCTGATCATTCCCTGTAACTGCATCAATGGAAAACCCCAGGAAAAGGGCAATAACCAAAATCAGTACGTTTTTTCATTGTTAGTATTATATAAATTGGAAATTCGAGTGAATCAAGAACACCTTTCCCAAAGATGGAGAGCTGTAAAACTAACAACTTTTCAGATAGATTTTGACACAGTATGAAGCAAGTAGGTCTTAGGAAAACACTTAAAAGAAGCATTACACTTTCTCTCTAAGCATTCAATACACTATTTTTTTTTTCTGCTGCATCCTATGCGAGCCTGTTACGTGGTCTGCAGTATATCTTCTATTTCACTGAGAAGACAGTCATGAATTGCTTAGCCTAGGATGTTTTTGGTGCTATAGCACTTTATAGATAACCAAATGTGGTGCTTAGGGACATGTTTTAGTGGTGGACTTGGCAGTGCTAGGTTAATGGTTGGACTCGATGATCTTAAAGGTCTTTTCCAACCTAAATGATTCTGTGATTCTATAAATAAAAATAAAACAACACAACAGAACCTCCAAAAGCCAAGCAGCACCTCATTTTTATCTTAGCTTCTTGCTACCTTTTTTTTCTTAGAGGCAGAAATTATTATGATGAAACCTGCTGATGACATGAATTTGCAGATTAAGCATATGCATGAGATAACAGAATGAAATCGCAAAGTTAACTTCTTAAGCTGTCAGAGAAATACTGCTTTAACATTCATACAGATTACATATGTAAATATGCCAGCTAGAATTACCTCCCCAATATAAATAAAAAGCCTTATTAAATCATTTGGCCATCAGTACGGCTTTTAATTAGTGACGACAGAATAGACTGACATCATCCGATATAACAAGGTTAGCAGTCAGCAGACCAGTGCAACAGATCTGGGCAGAGTAAATTCAAATGCAAAAGGAGACCAGCAAGAACTACTACTGTGAAAACACTAACGGAATTATCTGAAAACGGTAAATGTTCCAGAGGGCCTTGGTATGGGTATCCCATGGCTTCCATGGCTGTAAGTATGGGTCCCAACCTCTCCAAGTAGAAGATTTTGTAAGTGAATATGGGGTGGACATGGGAAAGGAAGAGTGGGAGGAAAAGGTGTCTGCAAGCTGCAAAAAGCACATTAGGTTCTTCCATAGATGACTTGCTATGTTGGCATCAACAGCCAGTGCAGCCCTGTGTTGGTCAGAAAGTGGACATGGCTGGGGAGAGGGTGAGGCCCACAGCCTGAACAATCCTCTACTGCTCATTACCTATGCAGACCTAAAGCTGAGCACTCCGGGCTGATTTGCTCCCAAAAGTGCTATCGTGCCCCACTCAGGACAGCTTCTTCAACTCAGTAGCTGGTTTGGCACGAAAATCCTTTAACTTGCTCAGGCTTTTGCAAGTTTGTAAAGAACACATCACATTTTAATACAGTAAATGTTTTTTAGAAGAATGAACAAGGGTAAAATCACAATAGCAGTGTTGCACCTTTGAACCTCGAGAGGAAACTTTTAAGTCCAAAGAAAGTATTACCCTGTGTGTGTCTCTGATTTTGGTGTCCATCTCTATGCAAGTATAAGCACAGGATGAAGATGAAGGCCACAACATCAACAAGTGCTCAAGGACAGTGGAAACAAGAGAGACTTGCAGTAAGAAACCCACGTACGAAAATGCAGTTCAGAATACCGTGTCTAACTCTACCTGTCTTCTCTCAAATTCCCTCTAGCTGCACCAGTAAATCAATCTCCTCCGGTAAACAAATAAACAGTCGTTGCTCTGTTTTCCACAGAAGACTAATCTTGTCTCTAATCAAATAGATATCCCTTTATCCGCTCTAGAGTAGAAGGTTATCTTTCCAGATTAATCTTTCTTTGCATGAGAAAGAAGAATGTTGAACACAGAGGATGAATTTGAGAATCCAGACAAACAACAAAGCATCTAAGGCCTGTAAAATTGTGAATTTGAATCTATACTAACTTGTTAGGCATTAACCAGAGCTGGATCCAGAAAGAAGCAGAATAAAATACAGTACTAAAACCCTGCATAATTTTTGAAACTCCAATAAATGAAGAAGGCTTGTTTCCACGGAGTTTGCCTACTAAACATTTTATCAACTATTACATGAAAATAGTAAGGAAGAATCTGTACACAGATATGCTTCACAGTTCTCAAGAAACGAAGAGTAAAACAGAACCAGGAAGACAAAAATTAAATGCATGACCTTACTCCTCTTACAGGCAAGAGTATATAGCTCATAGAAACCATTAAAAAAGTAAGTTTCCATGAATTTCAGATATGTAGACCACAAAACATACAGACAACATAGTACAGCTTAGTTTAATAAAATGTATCATCATTGAAAGTCTTCATATCTGTGCACTTATTAAAATGTGGCTTCTGTATTTCGTATTGCTGAGTAGCTGCTACTAAAAGAAAACATTAGGTTTTGCAGCTCACACATTTAAGTATTTGCAATATCGTGCAACTGTATGGGATTCAAAGTGAATTAACTAAAGCCATATCTACGTGTTGTGTGTATATATTTGCAAACCTGACATGTAAGGTGTAGGCAGAAAGTTCTAGAGGTTTTGTTTTTGTAGTTCATGGCACTAGTCCCTGTGCTGCATCTCTTCCTTGACCTAAAGAATTCTGCAGTACAGTACTAAGGCTCATGTTCTGACTCTACTGGTTTGATTGCCCAACTTTGCATACTTTGTATTTTTTTAATGTTAAAATGTATTCTGGATTAAAATGATCTTTATGGTTGAAAAGTCAGTCACTGGAAGAAGAGCCTGCAGAAAGACAGTTGTCAAAGAAGCTTTAAATCCTCTTCATTTTGTTTGCAAACCATGATAAGAAAGTAGTAATAGGATAACCTAGTATTTTCTCCTCAAAATGTGCTCATCAGGAATCTAAGTAGGGTTCGAAGGGCAACTGAAATTTTGATACTTTCTAATTTTTCCAGGCATTTCTTTGGTGGAATTCTTTGCATATCCTATAAAACTATCACCTATTATTAAAGATTTTTTTTTTCCTGCAACAAATTAAAGATTTCAAGAGTTGTATCAATGGTACATATCTGAAAGGACTTTACAACCTTTCCGACATCTTTCTGATGAACAACTGTATTGTTTATAGATGGGCAAGTTGATTCACATATTCAATTAATGATTATTTTATTATATTCCTTTTTACTGAATTCTTTTCTACTTACTACTTTTGGAAATGAAGGTTATAGTAAGCTCTGAATGCTTTCCAACAATGCTACAAAGACTTAATTTCAGTAAGTGTATTATACAATTCTTCTCTATCAGCAGCTTCTATTCTACAGCCTTTGTACTTACTGTGAACTCAGAAAAAAGTAATCTGTAAAGAAATACTCCTATTCAAAATACAATGAAAAAGTGATCAGGAATCTGAAATTCTGCAACTTTAAAAACACCTGGCAATTTTCATTATCTACAGCATCCACCATTTACTTCAACTCCAAATTCAAAACCAGTGCATGGCCCTTAATTCTTTATGGATTTTTAGTATTTTAAAAAATTATTTTCCCTAATTTTTTTCTCAAATATATTATTTTGCCTCTTCTGTAACTATCTTTAATGAACTTCTTGCTTTTTCCTGTATTTTAACTTAGATGCCTTATTAACACTTCTCCATTCTGTGAAATTTCATAATGCTTCAGCTTATCTTCTGCAGTCATAATTAATATTTTCCTCATATTGTCACGTATCTTGACATAACATATGTGTTACCTGGCAGATTGTCCTTTAAATAAAACAATTTTTGTGTAATGTTTTCATCTAGTAAGGTATACTGCCAAGTTTTCTGGAGGATGTCCTCTCAAGTTTGTAGGCACATTACATTTATATCTTCCTGCACTTTTACCTCAAAACCACAAATTGTGATCCTCAAAGCTCCCTATGCAGATTTCACTCTCCAGTTCAACTGAAGGCACAAACTGCATCTCCCCAAAACAGGGAAAACATATTTCAATTTGGAAATAAAACTTCTTTCTTATTCCCAAGAAGGGAACAGCAAGTTATCAACTATTTTTATTTGCTCACCAATACAGTAAGGACAACATTGTCCCTTTCTCAAAACAGGTCTCTCACAGGATACCAGTGGGCAAGACTCAGAGTAGCATCTAATCACACCATCCATGCAAATGCAGCTGGTGCAGACATTGGGCTTCCAGGACTCAGCTGTCAGAAAAATATCTCCTTCATCATTTTTGCAATAACTGGGCATGCTCTCATTGCTTGATGAAGAGGGCTGAAGAGGCTCGTCTGTAAATATAAACAGATTAAGTTATTTAACTTACGGTAGCTACTTCTCTCATACTTCCTCACCAGAGGGTTCACTCTCAAAGAACACAATGGAATTGTAACACATCGGCTCACTACTTCAGAAGTACTAGGACGACAGAGCCTTATGCCTCTTCAGTTCTTACATGTGATGAGGATCTCATGATGTGCTCTAGAATAAAGTTTACGTAGACCTTTATTGAGTTTACTCAAAAAAAAAAAAAGGAGAAAATGAAAAAAGAGAAAAAAGGACAGCAAAGTGAAAACCAATCACTATCAGAAGCAGCCCCTCAGAAAGCCACTCTAAATGCTCTGAACTGAATGGTATATAGGAATTCACCTTAAATTAGAGAGATTAAATTTTAAATCTAAAACTTGAATCCCAGCTTCTGCCATGTCAGTTCAAAGCCTTGAATGATGCTGTTGCCTTTGCTAGTGGACTTACATGAGCTAATTATAAGCTGTTGAGAAACAAATGGAACTTGATCGGGCTTCAGCTTGATGCCAATGGGTCTGCTTTAATTCTCATGCCCGCACACAGGGGAGACATACTTCTGCAATGAAGCTGTATCTTAACAGACATTATGGATCAAGAAATATGACTGTATGTGCAGAGAACATATAAGAAAAGGAGAAGAAAAAAAAGGATTCATAAGGGCACTCAATCTAACTGTCTAAGTTATGAGACTAAGCTCCTTATATAGCCAGCGAGGAAAGATCAGCTCCTCCACGCAGTATTTTGAAGTTAAGCAAATGTTCACTGTTATTAAGAAAAATGGAGGTTAGGAGAACTGGCTAACTTTTTTACTGAAAATATTTTGTCAGAAAGAAACCACCCAAAAACCCAACAAACACCCTGTAGAAGAAATGGCAAAACCTAACTTTTTAAAAAGTAAAATTTTTAGATTTTTTTTTTTTAATAAAGACAAATATTTTCTCAGTGAGTTTACATACAATTCACAGGTTTGGACTAAATTTCCACTGCAATAAACTTCCCCGTTTGCTATGTAAAATAGGAATTCATGTTCATTTATAACTGCATCTCTTTCCTTGGGGGAAAGCAAATCCTGTTACCTTCTTGACACTGTGAGGGAGTCTAGGAGGAATCTGGCACACCTGCTGGGCTGGAATGCTTTGATATTACTCAGTTGCCTTCAAGTCACTCTCAAATCATATCAGGTGAAGGTAAAAGCAAACAGAAGTATTTTTAAGATCAAATCCCAAATAGATAAGATAGTAATCAAAAGATTCATAGAAACCAAGGCATGTAGAAAGGAAAAGAAACAAGCCTGTATCTGCCTAGCACTTTGTCTACTTTCGAAGTTTCTCTAATCCTTCTTGTTTCCATAAACGAGCCAGTGCATATTTCATAAACCTTCCAACTAAGGATTCTGGTTCTCATGCAACCCTTACATTTTTAGATTGCCTTCAAAGATGTTCAAACTTCAGGGCTGCAACTCCCCTTTACATATAAGATCTCTCTTGCACACAGTCAAGTTTTGCAGTTGAAACAGAGGAGTGCAGGCTCTCAATCCAAACTGCTAAAGAACAAAGGCACCACAACAACCAACTGTTCACATACTGAAACATTCAATATTCATGTCATACATTCTCAGATCAAGAAAGGACTCTAATGAAAGCTGACTGTCAATATATACCTGGGCACTGTGGACAGCAGGAGTCCTGGGTGCGGGTGGGGTTTTGACAGAGAAGAGGTGGGCAGACTTCAGTCTCACACAGGACACGTCCACTGTGGCATGTACATTGTGTGCAAGAATCAATATTCCATGTCTCTCCTTCTACAAAGTATTCCCCACCAGGGGCATGACAGATTGATGGACTGGTGAGCTCTGGCTTCTGCACAATTATTTCATCTGGGAAAAACAGAATTGGAAGACAGGCAAAATGAACGGTGTCTCTAATGATTAACAAATGTACTCAAGATTAATAATTTGTTATTATTGAAAATATTAGGAATAACAAAACCAGCTATATTCTTAATGAAGCTCTTTCAACTTTATGTCACTTTTGACTTTATGTCACCTGCATCTCACGGAAAATGAGAAAAATCTAAACAAGAAACAATTTGAGAATTAGTCTGAATAAATGCTAGTTAATATAAATCAGAGATAACTTCAAGCACTCTTGTCATTTCAGAAAAAAATCAAACCAACCTGTGATGCAGGAATTCCGAAAGACAACTGCCATTTTCTGAAACATTCTATTGATCAGACAGGTTCTTGACTGCTAAATATTAGCATCAGTGCAATTCCTGAAAGGATCGATAAGTATTCTTCCTGTCTGGGATTGTGAAAATTGAGATTCAACTGTCTGCCTTTAAGTTTCCTAAGTGATATGCATCTGTACCATTTGGTGCCAGATTAAAAAAAAAAAAAAAAAAAAAAAGAAAAAGAAAAACACAGGATCCCCTACCCAAACTCTTAAAAACATATAAGCACTTAACATTGGTGGAAGTGCTTCATCACTTTGTTCCATTAATAGCTAATTAAATAAATAATCTGCAGTCTTTGAAGTAAAAACTGGACCCAAGGAGATGCCACAGTGTGTAGACTCGTATTTCCAGTGACTGTATCTCACCAAATGAACCTTAATTCCTTTTCAAACAATTAATTACATTACCTATACAGCCCTGGCTAAAAGACTCACCCAGCCTCTAACCCAGGCAGTTCAGAGAATAGATTTGACCTCCTTCAAGTTAAGAAAGGAACTGAAACTGCTTCCCTTGTTCAACATGAATGTCCTCCAACCACTGGGGTATTAAGAAAATGGGAGAACTCTCTTTACCTCTTGGTGTTTCAAAAGAAAAAAGAAACCTGTCCTGCACTTTGAAAGCATTTAAGCACTTACCATCAAGAAAAAGTTATGCCATGAACTGCATCCTCATAGCCTGCTTAAAATGCTTTGAAGCCCACCCTGACATAAGGGGCAGTAAGTGCAATAGTAACTGCCAGCTTACCATGCTGGTTGCTTTGGACCTGGAGCGAGTCCACCAGCTTTTTCCATGCAATGTGCGTAGGAATCGAGATGCCTCACACAGCATGTTTTATTCAGCTACAGATGCCATGAGTTTGAAAGCTACATGGTACAATGTGAAGCTTCAGGCTTATAAGTGATGTTGTCCTTCAGCCTGAATTGAACCCATCTAACATTAGACAACTAAGTTAGGTGCCTATGTTAAGAACTGAGCTGCCTCAGGTTTCCTGTGGTATGCATAGAGGGGAAGAGAGACTGACTTCCAGGTAATGACTCTACATCTCTAATCTGCTTTCTGAAGGTCCCTTTCTCCTACTTAATTATAAAGATGCCTAATGTGAATATCATCCTAATCTAAATATCTTGGTTAACGACAGAAAAGTTAAATGTATAGCAGTTCCTCTAGTCATTTAGGCAGGCCAAGGCTCACAAAGTGCATGTGCTTCTCTCCACATTCGTAGCACTGCTGTACTTGTCTGCAGAATGGCATTTGTGCCCTTTGCTCTATGATATTGCCACGTAGAAGACACACCACTCAGTTATTTGTTTTCATTTCTGGAGAATGATCAGTAGAAGTCAAGGAACCCGACTCTGTCCGATCTTACTCTATTCACAAAGTACTCACGCATTTTTTCTTTTAGGGAATTATTTTATCTTTCACTGATTCGCTTATGCTATGCTTTTGCTATTCCTTACATTTATGAACCACATATGTGATTCAGTAGCATTTACCTGAAGTGAGATAGCTGGTCTGCTGCCTTGTCACTGTTTGTTTTTTATTTCAGCTGGAACAATATATTACATTTTATGCATTGGCATCCTAACTCACCATGGCAAAGGCAATACTGATTATTTTCTGGAAATTTTCTGAGTAGTCTCCTTTGCATTTAGTTCTCTGCAAAGTCACAGGCCTGTTTTACTACAGCTTGTATACTGTTCATAATCAGAAAAGCATAACCAGATAATACTGCTGTACATATGGTATTGCTTACTGCTCCCTTAGCAGCATTGATATTGATCTATCACTGCAGCTGAACTGTTACAAATGTACAAGTACTACATTCCTGAAGGAGCAGCTAGCCAAACAAACACACACTTTCTGGATAGCATGGTTCTGCAAAACACTAGCAGTTAATGACTTTTTAAATCTTACAGGAAACCTGGAGCTTTTCACAAGCATTGTGACAATCCACTTAAACCTCTTAATATATAGAAACACCGTTATAATGAATGTTGTAGCAGGCAAGGTATATCTTCCTCTGTTGAAAACTAACTAAATATGGAATTGAACATAACCACTTTTTTTCTTTGGTCTGAAAAATGACCTCTGAGAGCTGCCACTTCCCTGCTGATAGGTTAACAGTGCAATTCAAAACTCAGTACATCAGGATTGCTAATTATTTCAATATCCTTATGCCAGACACATTCGAGTGACATGCTCAGTCTCACAATTCCAAACTGCATTCCTACCTACTGGAAGCCATGATATTTATTTAACAACATCAGTGGGGAATCAATACATTCCAAAATAAAATCAGAAGTACATTTCTAACAAATATAAAACGTCAGTGGGGCAAAACAAAACCACACTGGGACTAATTTGGCCATATTAATTCATACACTTACATATGCAATCAGTTTAAAAAAATGCTGTGTCTGCCCTAGCATTGTAAGAGTTTACATCAAATACGACTTTGCTAACACAGAAGCTAGGTGACTAGTACCTTGAAAGCAGGAAAGATGTCAGACAGAGAAACCTATGCAGACACTGTATCTCAAAGGAACAGACACTACTGGGTAAGCAACTGCTCTTTTATACAAGACCCCAACATTGCTGGTGCTCAGAATCAAACACCGATCTCATCCACAAGAAATGTATAGCGTGAGAAGACAGGTACTGCTGATCTCATACTGATCTTTCTTCCACTAACTGAACATTAGACTTACGAATGGATTTACCCAAACTCATTCTCCGTACACAAAGTAACCAGCCACTAGTGCTGATGAAAGACCAAGATTAACATCACTCTTATTTGAATGCTCTGCGGTGTTCTGTATGTGTTAGGTAAATCAACACACACAAGTATGCTGATAGTAGAGTGAAATCAAGGATGAGTCTTGGTGACCTAACAAAAGAAATGCTGGAACTAGAACAACCATCCTACATTTTAAATTTTGAATCTTGAATGTTTATCTAATGCAAGACTGACATGCTAACCTGTCCCCATCCATTTGAAGTATACCATCCCCTACAATCATAGAATGGTTTGGGTTGGAAGGGACCTTAAATATCATCTAGTTCCAACTCCATTGCCATGGGCAGGGACACTTTCCACTACATCAGGTTGCTCAAAGCCCCATCCAACCCGGCCTTGAACAATTCCAGGGATGGGGTATCCACAGCTTCTCTGGGCAGCCTGTTCCAGTGCTTCACCACCCTCATAGTGAAGAATTTCTTCCTCATATCTCATCTAAATCTAGCCTCTTTCTGTTTAAAGTCATTACCCCATGCCCTATCACTGCAGCCCCTCTCCAGCTTTCTTGTAGGCCCCCTTCAGGTACTGGAAGGCTGCTGTAAGGTCTTCCCGGAGCCTCATCTTCTCCAGGCTGAAGAACCCCAGCTCTCTCAGCCTGTCTTCATAGGAGAGGTCCTCCAGCCCTCTGATCATCTTCGTGGCCCTCTTCTGGACTCGCTCCAACAGTCCATGTCCTTCTTATGTTGGGGGCCCCAAAGCTGAATGCAGTACTCCAGGTGGGGTATCATGAAAACAGAGTAGAGAGAAAGAATCACTTCCCTTGACCTGCTAGCCATGCTTCTTTTGATGCAGCCCAGGATATGGTTGGCTTTCTGGGCTGCAATCACACATTGCCAGGTCATATTGACCTTCTCATCAGCCAACACCCCCAAGTCCTTCTCCTCAGGGCTGCTCTCAATCCATTCTCCGCCCAGCCTGTATTTGTGCTTGGGATTGCCTCAACCCATGTGCAGGACCTTGCACGTGGCCTTGTTGAACTTCATGAGGTTTGCACGGGCCCACCTCTCCAGCCTGTCAGGGTCCCTCTGGATGGCATCCCTTCCT